CCAAAACCCCCCAGGAAGAGGGTGACACCCATTGCTTGGGGGGGTGACGCTCCCCCTCCCCACCCCCTGCAGAAAAGGGCTCTCAAATCCTGCTGAACCTTGTGGGGGGAAGGTGCCCCCCCCTCCCCTGTGTGGGGAGAAGGGTGACACCCCACAGGAGCTCTGAGGACAGGCTGACCCACACCCCGACATCTGTGGGGCTGCAGGAGAGGGGTGACCCCTCTGAGCCTTTTGGGAAGGAGGAGACTGCAGCAGGAGCTGGGGGGACGGGGGGAGGGCTGCATGTGGCCCCCTCCCAGGTGTGACCCCCAACCTTCACCCCCTAATTGACCCCACGAGGGGTTCTTCATCACTGCTGTCCCCCAACCCCGAGGGACTGAGCCCCCCATATCTGGGGAGCCCATATTGGGGGGGGGGGAGCAGGGAGGTGACAGATCCCTGTGGCCCCTCAGCAAAGTGGGGCTGGGCTGGTGTGACTTAAATATTCCCCCCCCGCCCCCCAATTTGGAGGGTTTTGAGGATGAAAGGCTTGGTCTGTGATTGCTGAGGTTGGGGGATGATTTTGGGGGGGGACAGGACTGGGCTGATGCTCCTGTTCCCAATGGTATCTTGGACCCCATTATCCGCGGGCTGAGGCTGCATCCGAGTGGGATTTACTCTCTGCCCTTGCTCTGCTGCTGCTCGGGGACCCCGTTATCCACGGGCTGTGGCTGCATCCGAGTGGGATTCCCGCTCTGCCCTTGCTCTGCTGCTGCTCGGGGACCGGATCTGTCACTGCGGGCGCTCGGGGCTCTGCAGGCAGGGACTTTTCAGCTGCATTAACCCAAAAAACTTCATTTCTGAGCGGTTTTCTCTGCTCCTTTGCTGCCCGAGGGTGTTGGAGCCCTCCCTGTCCTTCTCTGTCACCGAGACAGGAGCGAGGACACACGCAGACCTTGAGCCCCTTCCCTGATTTCGGTAAAATCCAGGCAAACGCAGCGCCGTGGCCCCTCAGCAGCAAGAGGGGGGCACCCAGGGCCCCGAAAGTGCTTGCACCCAGTGAGGACCCTGGTGTAGTGGGGGCTTCTGCAGGTGGGAGCATCCCCCCCGGGTTTTATCCTGCTCTGACGGGGTGGAATTTGGGTATCTGCATCCTGATCCATCCCAGCTCCCCTCCTCCGGAGCCGGTAGTTTCACCTTGGGGTGCTTCTTTTCCCTCCCATCTCCCAGATTTTGTTCCTTTCTCTCTTTATTTCTTTTTTCACACCGTTTCCATCCATCGTTGGCTCCAGCACTTCACCCTCCAACCTACAAAATGTACTTTGTTACAAGAATTATGGGCCAAAAACCTGCTTAAACCCCCTCCATCCCCAAGACTCGGGCTGGTGCCTCAACAATCCTTCTTGTTTGTCCTGGGAGTCAAACTCCAGGTCTGTGCCACGAAACACCTTTCCCTCAAACCTCCACAAAGGTGTTTTGTTTGTTTGTTTTTTTTTTCCTTTGCTGGGATTTGACGAAAACGGTTTCTTCTGCTTCTAAATGGGGGAGCCCGGGTGGACCTGGGTCCTTTCTGCTTTGCGTGGGCATTAAAAGAGGTCGCTGCATCCTCTGCCCAGCTCTCCCGGCGCGTCTTGTTCCAGTTTCTATTTCAGGAGCTCCCAAAAACCCAGCTCGGGGTCGAGGCCTCGCCGGAGGCTGGCGTTTTGCCTCTCGCTCCCTCCGGGCTCCGCTCCGGTTCCTCTCGGAGCCGGTTGGATTTCGGTGGGGACCAGCGTGGTGGAGCTTTCGGTGGGTCTAGAAATGCAGGTTGTGATGCTCCGGGTGTTAAACTGTCTCTTCGGAGCCGTGGTAATGAGTTGCTTTGCTCTTTTCAGATCTCCCCTCGACTTTGGGCCGGGCCCCGGGGAGGGGATGGGGACAGACGGGTTCCTGGTGACCTGCTGGGGACCGTCAGTTGTCCCCAAACCTGTTCCTTCACATCATCCCTTTGAAGGGAAGCGTCACCAGAACTTCCTTCTGCCGGTCCCCGGCTCGGCTGGGAGAGGCTTTCGAAACCTTCACTCGGTTGCCCAGATGTCCTTTGAGGACCGTGGTGTCACCTGGACCCCCAGCTGTGGGGAGGAGGTAGCCATGGGGCTGCTGTGCCCACGCTTGCAGTGGGGTGACCTTGGGAGCTGCTTTTGCTGCTTCCCCTTGGTGTGTCCTCGGAGGGTCCCCTCGTGGCTACGTGGCCATCACCCTGCCTTGCAGGAGGAGCACTGGCCGTGCACACCCCAGTCTGCCCCAGTGCTGATTTCTTTTGGGCCAGTAACTCCGTGCCTCAGTTTCCCTCCAGCAGAACAATTACTGGCTCCATGGGGGGAGGATCTGCAGAACCAAAAGCCATAAATTGGGATGAGCTGGACCCGTTTGCTGGGACCAGGACATGGTCCTGCACCCCTGACTTCTTTTTCTCTCGCTGCAGACAAATAACTTCCCTCCCCGTCTTTGCCAAAACAAAACAAAATGCTGAGGGCACTGGTTTGGGGGGTTTTTTAACTGCTTTCACCAGGATAATGGTAACCTCAAGTAAAACCCTGGCTGCAGATTGTCCAGGAGGTTGTTCTTCGTACCGACCCTCCTCTGAGCAGGAGAATCTGCTCATGGGGCAAGATTTAGAGGTGTGGGGGCACTGACTCCCTCCAAAGCGGGCACGTAACCCCCAGGGTTCTCATTGCCGTTGCTGGGACCCGGTGAGGGCTCCCAGCAGAAGGGGTTTAGGTGCCTCCCAGAGAGGGGGTAAAGAGGGCACTGACTGAGCTCCCTCAAACGTGGGACCTCTGGCACTCTTGGGGCGGTTGGGGGCTGCCTCTGAGTTGGCAGGAGCCTGTAGTCCTTATGGAAGGTTGAGTTGAGATGGTCCTTGATGGGCTTGTGTTGGGTCTTGGCAAGGTTTGTGTTCCGTTGGGTCTTTGACGGGCTCCGTTGGGTTGTGTTGGGTCTTTGATGGGTCTTTGACGGGCTCCGTTGGGTTGCGTTGGGTCTTTGACGGGCTCCGTTGGGTTGCGATGGGTCTTTGACGGGCTCCGTTGGGTTGCGATGGGTCTTTGATGGGCCTTTGACGGGCTCCATTGGGTTGTGTTGGGCCTTTGATGGGCTCCGTTGGATTGTGTTGGGTCTTCGATGGGTCTTTGACGGGCTCCGTTGGGTTGTGTTGGGTCTTTGATGGGTCTTTGACGGGCTCCGTTGGGTTGCGTTGGGTCTTTGACGGGCTCCGTTGGGTTGCGTTGGGTCTTTGACGGGCTCCGTTGGGTTGCGATGGGTCTTTGATGGGTCTTTGACGGGCTCCATTGGGTTGTGATGGGTCTTTGATGGGCTCCGTTGGGTAGCGTTGGGTCTTTGATGGGCTCCGTTGGGTTGCGATGGGTCTTTGATGGGCCTTTGATGGGCTCCATTGAGTTGTGTTGGGTCCTTGACGGGCTCCGTTGGGTTGCGTTGGGTCTTTGATGGGTTGCCTTCCTTGCTGCCCCAGCAGCCGGAATGCAGCCCTGGTCTGATGCCCGAAATCAGCTGCTGTTTAACGCCGTCCCCTGCCAGCAATTTCAATTTGCTGTGTGTGGTGACACTTGTCCTGACAGGGCCACGGCAGAGCTCCTGCAGTGCCGGGTGGCCTCTTTTCGGCCCCGTTCTGCCCTCCAGAACGCAGCCCTGGTCTGATGCCGGAATCGGCTGCCGTTTAACGCCGTCCCCTGCCAGTGATTTCAGTTTGCTGTGTGTGGTGACACTTGTCCTGACAGGGCCACGGCAGAGCTCCTGCAGTGCCGGGTGGCCTCTTTTCGGCCCCGTTCTGCCCTCCCCGGAGGCGGTGGGAGGAGGATGGAGTGATGCCTCTTCTCATCCCTGCCGTGGCTGGTTTTATCCCTGCTGGGCTCCCGTCCCCGCCGAAATACCTGTCCCCACTGAAATATCCTGGCTGCTTTGCTGGGGTGAAGCCCGAGGGTCTCCGCTGGGAGAAGAGCTGTTGGAGCTTCACGTTCCCTTCCCCTTGAGCTCTGGATGGAGGCTGAGGATGATGGACCTTCCACCCGGTGCCAGACTCGGTTAAAAGCTGCCACCCCCAGCGTTTGGGTGATGGAGTTTCCCCTTGAAACGCTTGAATTGGGTGAAGAACCCTGAAGTGGAGTCAAGGTTAGGATGTGACGGGCCCCGTCTGTGACACCGGTGACAACGCCATGAATATTTATAGCGAAGGTGTGTCTCTCAAACGGCTCAGTCCTTGCTCCAGGGGGGAAGAAGAAGCAGCAGCAGCAGGTTCTGAGGTCGGGTACTGGGGCAGAGGAGACAGGTTTGTGCAGGAGGGAGCAGGTAAGGGGTGTCCAGGGCCTTTGATGTCACCTGCCGTCTGCTGTGACAACTGCTTCGTCTTCTCTTGGCAAAAATTTTTTAAAAAAACCACATATAAGGGATTTTGGTGGGTTTTTTTCATGAAATTAGCTGTCTTGTGTCACCTGAGCCCTGGCTCTTCTTTCTGAGAGGGATAAGGGACAAGGTGTCCAGGGCCTTTGATGTCACCTGCCGTCTGCTGTGACAACTGCTTCGTCTTCTCTTGGCAAAATAGTTTAAAAAAAAACACCTATAAGGGTTTTTTTGTTTTTTTTTTTTCCATGAAATTAGCTGTCTTGTGTCACCTGAGCCCTGGCTCTTCTTTCTGAGAGGGATAAGGGACAAGGTAGTGACAGACGAGATGTTACTGAGGTTACTTTCTTCTAGACCTTCTTCTGCTGAAGCATCTCCTGAGCTGGAGACCGTACCTGCGGTTGGATTTAAGAGTCACAATCCTCCAAGAATTTGCCTTTTTAAAGACACTTTATATTATGCTTCTCAACACCCTCTGGCCACAGCCTCCACGTAGCACGAGGAAAGTCCTTGGATGGTAAAAATCCGTGTCGAGGGGAGAAGCTGCCTCAAGGAGGACGTGGGGAGAAGGTGTTGAGCTCCCAGGGTGAGGGACACGGTCCTGGCTCGTGTGCTGGTTCCACAGGGGTCTTTTCCTAACTGGGAGGGTGGGAGGTGGGACTGCCTGGGTGCACAGACCCACAGACCAGAGGCTGAAACACCAAACACCACCGAGTCCATCACTTCTGCCCCGAGGTAGGACCAGGTCTAGCGACGTCGCTCCCACCAGAGGTGTATGTGCCACCTTGTTCTGGCTGCTTCGGAAACGAGCTGCTTAATGAGCCTGTGTCTCCCATCAGCAGGGCACAACGGGCTCCTGTTGGGCAGAGCCATGGGCACTGAGGGCTCCTGGTGGGATTTCCTTTTAATTTTTCCTTTTGGGAAACGCTAAGCACCAGGTTGAAGGGAGGTGGGAGCCACAGGATGCTCTTGTTCCTCCCCAGAATGGCTTTTTCTTTGCCCTGTGGCTGGATCTCACTTAGGGAATGAGATCCTTGCGCTCACCCTGGTCACGGTGGTAATTTTTGGGGATGTGGGGCACCCCCTGAGCTCCTCCTTTGGAGGGGGCTCCGTCAAAAACCCTAAACCTCTGGCAGAAAGCGGGGAGGGGAGACGAAGGGCTGGTGCCTCTCGGTGCACGCGGTGGCTCTGCAGTATCCCACCCGCCTCCCCTCGTCTGTTCTGGTTTCCCTTCTCCCTCCCCCCCATTGCTATTTATCCCAAATGCCATTTTTATCTCTCTTCAGGCTCTGACTCTACATTCGAGCTTCTGGGCAAGATGCTGGTAATTTCCATACAGATTATAACAGGGGAAAAAAAAAAAAAAAAAAGAAAAAGCAACATTCAAAAGCTTCCAGAAACACATCGGACCCGCAGCGTCCCCGATGGCACGGCCCGCTGCTAAGTTTAGAGAGGAAAAAAAAAAAAAACAACCCACAAAAAACCCAAATCGTCTTTCTAATGTGGTCGTTTTGAGGCGGAAAATGCTGGAAATGAGCGAAGGGAAGGACTTTTTAGGCAGCGCAGAATGTCCTCCTGGTTGGGTATCGCTCTGAAGCCTGGCGGGACGGTGTGAAATGAGGTGGTACGGTGTGAAACGAGCTTTTTTGACCCCTTATTTTAGTGCCTGGCTTTTGATTCGCTTGGTATTCATTTCTTTTTGAGAACCACCTCAAAAAGAAGCTCCTTGCTTCTAGTTTGCAGTTGAAACCCAGCCTCTCTGACGAGGGACACCTGAGAGCGCTCTGCCTTTCACAGAGCCTTTTCCCACCCTGAAAAAGCTCTTTTTTTCCTTCTTCCCTTCATTTTAATTTTTATTCAGAGGTGGGTCCGTGCTGTACCCCCCCTTTTCCCAGCCAGGCAGCCGGGTTTGCTCTCCCTGGGGGGATTTAGCCCCTCAATTTTCTCCTCCGCAGAACCCAGCGCCGCACATCCCTCTTCCAAACCCACGTGTCCTTTCTCGTCGGCCTCACAATTCACGGATGCAAAGCCGAAAACCCCAGATGGGGTGGGTTTTGTGGTTTTTGTTTTTTTTTTCCCCCCCCCTGTTTTTTAAGAGCTCACCACCCATCAGTTCCCATTATGCTCGCCGCTGAAGCTCTTTTGAAAAATCCACCACGCGTTGGGCTGCCCTAAATGGGCCTTTGTGAAAAATCCTGCGCTCGACCTCTCCCGTCGCGGGCTTGGGGGGGGTTCCAAAGGTTTGGGGAGCGAAGCTGCTGTGGGCAGCCCCCCCCTGCTGTGCTCTTCTCCATCCCTGGAGCTTATGTGCCGTTCCCAGAGAAATTCAGATTGGGTGGGAAAAGGATACGGAGCCGGGATGGGGCGGCGAAGTTTGTGTTTCATGAAAGCGAGGAGGAAGGAAAAATAAAAAAGATGTGGGTGAATTTGGAGCTGCTTCTGCAAAGGGGTTGTGTTACGGGGCCGGGAGATCTCTCACCTGTGGCCCGGCTCCGGTAACGCTGCGCTGGGAATTCGATCGGATCCCCGAGCTCGGCGGGACATTGGGAATTCAGAGGAGGAGCTGGGTCGAGTGGAGGAACTGGACAGTCTCTTATCTTTCCTCTTCCTCGTCCGGCTCCGGGTCTGGGCAGCGGGATTGGACACCGAGGGCTGGAGGCTGTGGTTCCCGGGACGCTGGGAGGGTTTTTATCTGTGGTCTGGGAAGCGTGAGTAAAGAAAGCGAGACTCTTATCAGGAAGCTTTTATTTTTGGACATAGAAGCCACAAATCACGGGCTGGAAAATCACTGTCCGGAGCGTGGGTTTTGGGAGGGCTCCGTCTCCTGCTGTGGGATGGGATGGGGAGGGAGTATGTGGAGGTACTTTTTGGTTTTGCTCTAAATTGAAGCAGATCCACAGAATGAAAACTGAGGAACTTTTCTCCTCTAAAGAAATCTTCCCCGCTGCTCCTAAAAGCTCTTGCTGCCCCCGTGCTTCCCTGCAAGCAGCTCTTCCACCCGCCAGTGCCGAATCTGGGATCTCCGCGTGGCCGTGGCTTTTTCTGTTCCACAATTCTCAATTGGGGTTAAGAATTTTTGCTGTAACCACCCGGCTTCAAAAATCCTCTTAATGAAACCGAAACTCTGGTCTTTGAGGGAGGCGGAGATCAGGAATCCATGTTGCCCTCCTGGAACTTTCACTTTTTGAGCTCTTTTTCCCCCAAATGGCAAGTTGGGTGGCTAAAACCAGTTTCTTCTTGTCTCCTCAGGAATACACTTGCCCGAGATGTGAATCCGGCTTTATTGAAGAAGTCACAGATGATTCCAGGTACCGTAGCCGTGGAGGCACCACTTGTTTTACCACACGCTCACGTTTCTTCTGGGTTTGTAAGATGTCCGGTGTAAAGCTTCTAAAAACTGTGGAAAACAAGGATAAAATAAGGAATGCAAAAGAAAAGCTGTACATTAGTGTGAATTTGGACTTAATACTGGATGAGAAGGAAAAGACAAGTGGCCATTGGTATCGTGCTAGAGCCAGGCAGAAGGGCTCAGGGAAGACTTCCAAGAAAATGGGAGTTGTGAATTAAGGTTCCTGTGAACAAAAGCCGCTTACGGGTTTTTGAGGCTTGTTTCTTTGCTCTGTGAGAGTGAAAAACGTTATTTTTTTAGAACTCAAGCTTTTATCTCAGTGAGTCGCCATACCTTTTTGCCCCTGTTGGCCCCAGCGCAGGCTCCTGACCATGTCTCCAGTTTCACAGCTCAGGCCGAGAGAGAAAGAAATACCCTTTTTTTGCCTTGGATTTAGTCATTGGTCACTCAGCAGAACACGCTGCCGGCAAATTAGGGATCCAAAATTATGCCTTTTCAGTCCTTACTATATTTGGTCTTGAGTAATTGCTGAGAAAACGGCTTTATTTGGGTTGAGGGTAGGCAAGATGAAAGGACACCAGCGGTTACGTGAACCTTTGCTCTCTGAGACTTCCCGCAGCAGGAATTTGTGGAGGGGGAGAGGAGTTAATGTCACGCTACGTCCTCTTCTTAAATATAAGGGTATACCTGTCACTTAAGGCAAGGCTGGAGGGGTCCCGTGGGGCGCTCAGCACGTGGTCCTGTTTGCAGAATGCTCCATTTCAAGGACGGCCTTGTAGGCCTCGTCGTAGGCCTCGTCGTAGGCCTCATCGTAGGCCCCAGAGGCGGCCTTGTCGTAGATCTCCTCTTAGGCAACTCTTCCAGGGTCCAGATGGTTAGAAACCAATTTTGTGGATAGCATCCACGTAAACAAGCCTTTTTTTAGCTTCACTAGTCCTCTCCCGTCCCCAGGAGTGACTCGGCTGTGTTGGCACGGGCGGGCTGGGTTTGCTCAGCCCTTTCTCTCTCGGCCCACACGGGTCCATGGCGCTCGCGTTCGCTCCTGTGTTTAACCCGGACGGGGAGCTGCTCTCTGGAGGGGATGACACTCACTTGCCTGTTTTCCTTCAGTTTTCTAGATGGCAGCGGCATAGACGACGGCCCTTCCACACAGTTTGCAGAGGTGAGTTTTGCTCTCTTGCTTTTGTTTTCTTTTAAAACTAGCCTTGAAGAGGTTTTCAGTCTCAACTCCAGGTGCAGTCCGTGAAGGCATCTTCACTTGCTGCCTTGGAAAAAGGAGAGTTGATCTTCATAGGAGTTTTCAGGAACTTGGCAGGTTTTGAGGAGGCTCGTGAAGGCATCTTCACTTGCTGCCTTGGAAAAAGGAGAGTTGATCTTCATAGGAGTTTTCAGGAACTTGACATTTTGGGCCGACCCTCTGGGCGCTGCCAGCAGTTTGCTCACTGGGCAGGGCAGGAAAAGAAGGAAAGACACCCTGGCCCCTGGTGCTGGCAGATGCTGGATGGGTGTCAGTGATGCTTCGCCATCCAGGGAGGGTGTTGCCCGACTGCCCTTTCCTCCCTGCTCGTTGCTGCTCCCAGTTTTACCAGAACTACGACTTTCTAAAAAGTCCATGTCCTGTAATTCAGCTGCGTGGAGCTCGGAGCAGGGGTGGCAGGGGCTGGAAGCGTCTTCTTACCCCATTACCTAAAGTCTCAAACAGCCTGAGTCAAACTGTGCAAATACTCACCCTCAACTTGTGCTGTGGCCTCTCCTGAGTCACCCCGGGCTCTGGCTGTGCTGGCAGTTCCTCTTCCAGAGCCCAGGGAAGGCTCTGATCTCAGGCTCTGTTCCTTGGGGCTTTATTTCCCTTCAGAAAACAGATGGGAATAAAATTTCTCTGCGTCTCCTCTGCCCGTCAGCCTTGCTCAGAGATCAGGTTATTGAGGAGATTTAGGTTCCTCAGTCCTGCCAGAAGAACTTCCTGATGCTTTGAGTTGCAGCTCCTCGGCCGTGGTCATCCCTGGGTAGATTTGGGGGGGCTGCCCTGTTGCTGAGCCCCCCCTTCACCCGCTGCAGTAAAGCCACCACCTTCAGCAGCCAGAAAGAGGGGGCACCAAATAGCTGAAATTCCTCTACGGCTTTGCTTTTTTGGGTCTGGATCCCTCCTGTTTCCCTCCACGTTTCCCTTCTCCTCTTCAGCTGGATCCATTTATCTCCCCGACAAACCCTTTTATATCGCTCCTCCCCAGCCCTGTTGCCCAGAACGTGCCCCTGTTTCGGGGAGATAAAGTGATCTCGGCTTATAGCCCACGTGAGGCTTTACAAAGAGCTTTGGGATGCTGCCGCATGAAAGAAAGGCGCTATGTAAATTTAAATGGCTTTTAGGATTAATAATAAATGAAAGTCTTCTCTCGGCAGCCTGGCTGCAGGCGGGCAGAGCTGTATCTTGATCATAACCAGCAGGAGAACAAGCAGAAGCCTCGTCTGCGGGGTATTAATGCGGAGAAGAGGTCATGAACTTGACTTCTCCCTTCCCTCCGATACCAGCTCGAAGCAGGGGATGGAAGAGACATGTAAAGCGAGCTAATTTGCTGTGAAATGGAAATGAAGCCACTCTGATCCTGTCGTAACGCGTGCTGAGGGTCTCGTACGGATAAGAGGAGAGCAGCCCTGGTGTTCTGCTCTGTGGTGCTTCGTTCCTGCAGTGAATCCGAGGGCACTGCTCCTCCTGATAGCACTTTTTTCAGGCCTGGGGCACATCCAGTGTGAGCAGCACGTGGCACACGGGGGGTTTCTTGTCTCATGCTCCTTGTTTTGTTGTCCTACAATTATTTTTTTTATTTCTTAAACCCATGTGATAATTCTCCAGTGCCCTCCCTCAGCTGTTAGTTTAAGCCGTGGGCGAATTGTGGAAGGAATAAAACCAAATGGGTTTTTGCAGGTGAGGGTGGCCGAGGGGGCTCTTGGCTCTGAGCTGTGGCTCAGGATGAGGAAGCTCCTGGTTCCTGGGTGTTTTCCTGCACCCCATGGTTTCTCCGCAGTGGGGTGTGTGGCCAGGATCACAGAAATCTATTGGTGACCCCCTCAGCAGCTCTTGATTTGTGTCCCTGCTCCTCCTCGGGGAGGCTCAGGGCTGACAGTTTGACTTGGTCAAGGAGCTGGTGGGGGTTTTGCTCCACCAGCAGCAGGTGGATGGGCTGTAGGGCCAGGAAGTAGCTTTAATTGTGTGGAGAGACCCAAAATGTGTGAGACCTTTAATTATTGGCCGTTTCAGGCTGCTCTGTCCTACCGTGTCGGGTCCATGGAGCCCAAGAGACAGGAACCCTCTTTCTTGGGGCTGTATTTGGGTTCTTTCAGCCACATCCATTTGCCACCCGTGGCTGTGAGGACCCAGAGC